ATGGGGTTCTCCACACCTGACCTCGTTTAAGCCCAATACTCCCGGAATGTCCCATCTGGGCTCCCCATTTGTGTGAATAGCGCCGATAAAAAGTAGCGCTCACTGTGTACCAGGCAAGAGTTTAAACTTTTTAGCTTCTCTTCACTCATTTAATCCTCAGGATTCCCTGTGATAGCCATTCTTACCATCCCAGACTAGAGATGAGGTAACCGAAGGCCCAGAGAGGTACGGAGACTTGCCCAAGGACACACAGCCAGGAAGTTACCAAACTGGGATTTGAACTGCAATTGCCTAGGAGATGAAGGAGAGGAAGTTTATCTCACTGGCCCCAGGAGCCAAGAGGGCCATGCTTGAGCCAGTGAGTCCAGAAAGGATGATAAATGCTGAGTCTCTAAGAATGGGGGAGTATCTTGCAAACCCCTGGGGTGAGGCAACTGGCAAGAGAGAAGCAGAGGTCTCTCAGATCCCCACCCCCTTGAGGATGGATGTGACTGGCTGAAGGGGATGTTTGTTTCTCTGCCACCCACCCTTTGGTGACATCATGCTGTGTTAGCCAATGGCTGGGGTCTTCCCCTCCTTCCCCTTCCCATTCCCTTTTCCCCCTTAGCCTCAGGCCGGGACCCAGCAGACGGACAGGAGCTCTTGGGGTGTCTGGAGGCCCAGCGGTAAGGAACCAGCAAGCCTGTCCTCCTTGGGCTAGGCTGAGAAGCAATGGGAATGAGACCCACCCAGGGTCCTGGGAGGTATAGGGAGGGTGCCACGGGGTTCAAAAGGCACAGAGTCTGGAGCCAGAGCCTAACTTTCCCCTTTTTCTGGTCCTATGGAGTTGGGCTAAATAGTCTACCCTTTGTGTCTCCGCTTCCCCCATCTCTAAAATGGGCTTGAAAAGTGTTCTTCACAGGGTTAGTGTGAGGTTAAATAAGGTGTTGCCTACAAAAAACTGGGGCAGGGGGAGTCTTCTGAGTGCTAGCATAGGGGGCTAGGGAAGCTGTGCTGTTCAAAGTTCTCATTTGGTAGAGGGAAAGTGGGAGCAAAGTCTGGGGTATGAGACAGATGTAGACTTTCCCATGTGCACCCTGTTGGCAGAAAGTAGAAGGGAAGAAAAAGCAAAACCCACTGGATTCCAATTAATAGTAACTCTTTAGAACATAGTAGAATTACCCTATAGAGTTCCAAGTCTTTATGAAGGAGTCCTTGTGGCATAGTGTGTGCTGGGTGCTGATGGAAAAGGTTGGTTTCAAATCTACCAGTCGTTCCATAGGAGAAAGATGAAATGGCTTTTCACCATAAGAAATGTATACTCTCAGACCCTTGATGGAGGGCAGCCATGAGCTGGGACTGAATAGACGCCAGTGGGTTCTGGCATTCAATCCTTTTAGAAGTAGACTGCCACACCTTTCTCCCCTGGAGCGGCTGGCTTCAAACTCCTGACCTTTCAGTTAGCAGCTAAATGCTCAACCATGGTGCCACTGGGGCTCTTTACACTAATTGAGACCTTACTATGTGCTGAGAATGAGTACCTTTCATCAGTGCATACTCACACATCCTCACAGTGACTCCTTTGGGTTCCATTTCTCAGGTGAGGAAACTGAGACAGGGAGATTATCCCCAGTTCTCATGTAAGGAAGTGCTAGAGCAGGGATTTTAATGGAGACAGCCCAATTTCCTCCCCTCTGAGTAAATGGCACTCAAGAACAGTCCAGGAATAGGCACAAGTCAGGCAAACCTCTCTACCTTTTCCCGTTGAGCACCAGATCACTGAGGAAGGACAATTCTCAAATGCAGTGTGCAGTAGCCACTTTGGGGAATAAAATGCCGAGAGCACAGAGGTTACAGGGAGCAAAGCTTGGGGATTCCTTGGCTGGCCGAGTTCAGTCACCCAGAAGGGCATTAGTGGCAACTTAAATGGGAGAACAGAATAAAAGCTCAGGCAACGGGGACTCTAAGGATTCTGGGAGCTCTGGCATGAACCAGGTCTGTGCCATAGTACATGCTACTGTCATGTCAAGTGCCCTCTGGGCATTGGGTCCCTTATATTCACGAGAGGTGCATTAAGTCCCTAATAGAAACCCAATACCCTCCCCTCTGCAGGGCCCCCAGTGCCCTTCTGCCCAGTGAGGTGGATGGGCAGAGCTGGGAACAGAGAGTGCCTGAGCTGGGGTGGGTTTCCTTCCGAAGCTGCCCCCACCCCAGGATCTGGGACGTGGCTCAGGAAGGGCACCATGGAGCTAATTATAACCTGGGGCTGGGCAACTGTCCCAGGCAGGGCTGAGGAAGGAGGACACTCTGTCTTGCCCCGCCCTGGCTGGCCTTCCTGTGCCAGGTTCTGGGTGTGACCCAAGCTGCCTGAACCTCCAGCTGAGAGCTGGTGCCCCTCTGGAGATCGGCTCACCTGTGAGCAACAGGCTTCTCCCTCCTTTTGCTTGAAATATTGGGGTGTATTAGAGTTCTGGTTAAGAGCACTTAATGCTAGTTTTTCAGACCCCAGTTCAAGTTCTGTCACTCGGAGACTCTAAACTCATTTTACTCTGCAGTAATGGACTTTCCTGAAGCCATGTTTTTTAAGTACCTGCTCTGCACTAAAACCCCTCTAAAAATGTCTATTTGGACCCCCCTCTACTAACGCCTACTGCCCAGCTGCTCCACTGGGCTTCCCTCTGCCACCCCCAATACCAGCAAGTTACAGTGCATAGTAGGGACCAGGGGAGCAAACTCTAGTCTGTCCCTTCGTGGCTGTGTTACTTTGGGCAGGTCAGTCTCTCTATCTGAGCCTCAGCTTCTACTCCCTTAACAGCCACTTGATCTTGGGTGACTTTGAGACAAAGGAGTTTCCAGCACAGAAAACAGCCAGAAGACATGGTCTCAGACAACTCGTTTTTGCTTGGAGGGGTTAGAGACTCAGAGGAGGACACAGAGAGGGAGACCCTCGGGGATACCCAGAGGTGGGGGCCAGTGGTTGGAATGGAGCAGGAGAAGATTGTGGGGTCCCTGTGTTCTCTGTCCTGGTCTGTAAGGGTGGGCTATGAAGGGCCATTGTGTGGCAGGGTGGGTGGGCAGGGGTGGAATGCGGCTGGGCACTGTAGACAGACCATTGTTTGAGGAATGTGCCTCGTGAGGTCTGACCTTTCACTGGAGAGTAGTTGGCAGGCTGGCATGCCAGGTGGGGGCCGGGAGGGCAAACCTTAAGTTGAGGGGTGAGACTGGAGGAGGCAACATCCATTGCTATTTCTCCAGAAGGACCTGGAGTGAGGTCATGTGCGAATCCCCTCTCTGCATCCTGGCTGGGTGGCCTTGAGATGAATGGCTTAGTCTCTCTGAGCTTGTTCCATATTTTAAAATGGGGATGAAACAAAATACTCAAACTTGTTCCTGTGGAATCAGAACCGACTTGTAGCTGACTCTCCAGCAGGTTTTCAGAGGCTGTTAATTGCCTGGGAGGAGATTGTCTATCTTGGAGTAGCTAGTGGATTCAAACCACTTGCCCTTGGGTTGGTAATGCAACTCCTTGCCCATTAGGACACCAGAGCTCCCTAAAATGGGAATGGTGTCTCTTAAAGTGACAGACATAGTTTTATTTCAGGGATGAATAAAGAGCACTCACTAAATACCCAATAATACCCAATAATAACTGCTTGTTATTAATACCCAGACAAACCCAAGTACCAGTTTATCCACTGGTAACTTAGGCAAACGACTTTCCTACTCTATACCTCAGGTATCTGTCCTGTAATGTTATCAATAGATCGAAACCAAACCCACTGCCATCTCATAACAACCGTCCAACACTTTTCAAGGCTGTAGATCTTTATGGGGGGAGACTGCTCAGCTTTCTTCCTTGGGCTGCAGGTGGACTTAAAGCGTCTGTGGGTCAATGGTACAATTCGCTATAGATAGACTATGCTCCCAGAGAGAGTTCCCTGTAATAACAACATTGAGTATGTATAAAGCAAGGTCCCTGCTGGCATGATGAGGAGCTAAGCAATGGGCTGCAACTAACCAAAAGGTCAGTAGTTCAAATCCACCAGCTGCTCAGCAGGAACACGATGAGATCATCTGTTCCTGTAAAGACTTCCAGACTCAAACTGTAGGGACAGTTCAACTCAGCCGCTAAGAGTTGGGATTGACTCAATGGCTGTGGTTTTGTTCCTGTTTAACTTGATAAAGTGTGCATCAGGTACCTGGTATTAAGTCATGTGACCCCTGTAACAACCTGTGAGATGGGCACTCTCCTTTCCCCCATTTCAAAAATATGCTGTTTTCTAGAAGCACAGAGAGGTGAAGCAGTATGGGGCAATGGTTACGGGCATTTTGTAGTGGATTTGACCCCACTGGGTCGGTTGAGGTGGTTGTATTCAGGGATTCTGCCATCAGATGAGTCTAGGAATCCATCCTGGCTTTACTGTGTACAGTCCAGCGGGGTCCCTAAGGCAAAGGACTTCAGAGCTTCAGTTTCACACACACACCCCTGACTATGGAGATGGGATATGAGAGTAGGGCACTTAGGGAGGATCGGTGGGCATCAGTGAGTAACACTGCTCTTGTTATCCTTCTTAGAATCCCGGACCCAGGAGGCCCAACGAGCCGGAGGTGACGCTGAGGTGAGCCCTGTCTGGAGCTACATTCTTCTCCCTGCCTGTCCCCAACCTGCCTGTTGCCTCATGCCCTGGTCTCTCTCTGGCAGGTAGCAAGACCCCAGAGGAAGGGTGTGGGCTCCACAGACGACTGTGCAGCACCCAGGGCTGGACTCCTGCTAGGAGAGAGTGCCTGCGCCCAGGCAGTGGTGAGAACTCAGCTGGGCTGGGAGTCTTTCTCCACTTCTGACCCCTACCCTGACCTACTCCTCTGAGCCTAACCCCCACCACATCTCTTTCTTTGCCTTGAGCCCCCATTCCTGTGATCCACAGGTTCAGAGGCAGCTGCTCCATGCTGAACTAAAGCTGGTTCTGCAGCAAAAGGAGAGGAGGCAGGAGTCTGGGGTCCTAGTGACCCCCAGCAGCGTCATGGAGGCCAGGAGCCGGAGTGCTGAGGTGAGTGCCTCTGCCTCCGTGAGGGGGTTTTCTTGGACCTCAGGGGGTTGACAGTACAGGGATGTACATTAGGGCAGCAAAGAGCCACTCTCTGGCTATTCTAAGGCTCAGTCATCCCATCTGTGAAATGGCAACATGGATAAGGTCTCTTTAATGAGTGACTGGAGGAGGGCAGTAAAATGCTTAGCACAATGACTGCCATACTCCCCTATCCCCCCCCCCAAAAAAATGTTAACAAATTGACTGTTTCTGAGTCAATTCAACCCTATAGGAAGGAGTGGGACTGCCTCATAGTTTCCAAAGCTGTAAATCCTAATGGAAGTGTTGTTTGTTGTTGCTGTGTACTGTAGAGTCAAAACTGATCAATAGCTGACCCTCCAGTGAGTTTTCAGAGGCATTTAATCACAAGGGAGGAGACTGCCCATCCTTCTCTCAGAAGGAAGTGTACCACTTTACCCCCCTCACCCCCTGCAAAGCAGGTGGGTTCAAATATCAACCTTTCAGTAGTTAGCAGCCCAATACTTACACCCCATACCACCTGGGCTCCTGGAACAGACTAAGATTAAAGAAGCTAGTTCACTGGAGCATAATGAAGTTAAATAAGTAGAAGAAAATCTGGCAGGACCTTTCATCAGAAGAGACAACAAAGGTGTAGGATTTAGGGACCTGGGCTGTGGATACAGGGCTCGAACCCTAGCCAAGCCACTGAAGCTGTGCAGCCCCAGGCAGGTAATCTCAACCCGAGTCTTGGTTTCCCCCACTGGTGAGATGGGGCAATGGCTTCCGCCTTGGGAGGTGGAAATGATTCACCCATGAGTCATTTACAATAGGGCCTGGCCCCTAGCAAGTCTCCTTGACTATGGTCCTTCTTGTTGCTAAGTGCCTTTGAGTTGACTTTGACTCATAGCCACCCTAAACAGAATGCACTCCCAGCCTGATCCTGTGCCATCCTCACACTCTCTGCTGTGTTAGCCCATTGTGACAGTCACTGTGCCAGTCCGTCTTTGTGGAAAGTCTTCCTCTTGTACTTTTCCAAGCATGATGTCCTTCTCCAGGTATTGGCCCCTCCTGATCACATGTCCAAAGTATATGAGATGAAGCCTCACCGTCCTTGCTCCCAAGGTGCACTCTTGCTGCACTTCTTCCTAGGGCTTGTTAAGCAAAGGTGCTATGATGGTCATGCTCCTCCCTGCTGCCCCTGACACCACTCTTCTCATCCTCCTTCATTTGACTCCATCCTTAGTCTCCCAGGACCACTGCTGCTGTGCATCTATCCAACCCAGAACTGCTCTTTTCCTGGGTCGGCCTCAATGTCTGATCTTCTTTGACCCACATTCCTTCAGGTGTCAGGTCACAATCAGAAACTCACAGTATAGTCATGTCATCAGGGAAGCGGTCCTAGAGAGGACAAGGTTTTCCCAAGAGACACATAGTACTTTGGGGGTCCAGATGTATGTGAACTTACTGCCTCCCCAAATAGGGGTTGTCTTACTGCCTCTTCTGGAAGCTCTAATGAGAACCCCAGTGTGCTGCTGGGCTAAGGCCAGATCAGCACCATTTACAGTAAATGCCAGGAATACCACATTTTCCAGTCCACAATTTATGACCCACGCAGCCACCCTTCTCCAGATTCCTTGGGCTGTGGGTGTTAGGCAGGTCTTGGGGTCAGACATTCCACAATAGGATACAGTCTCATACACATTCAGCCTTCCAGGAGGCCAATGTCCCCCTCACACTCTATTCCTCATCACAAAAACCCTTGGAGCCCTGTTTCTATCCAACACCTTGCTCTACTGTTATAATTTTTTCCTGTTATTATTTTTTACTAAGAATGTTAGGCTGTTTGGGGGAGTTGTGAGAATTGTGAGTAAATGAACATATATTGTGAAGTGATTTTTCTGTTCTCACTGTTGAAATCTAGATTTTTTTTGATCCTTATTATGAACGTTCTTCTAAGTGGTACAGCGCTGGTCTGTCAATTTGCTGTATTAAAGTAACTTGGGTTTGCTGTGATGCTGAACGCTGTGCCACTAGTATTTTCAAATGCCATAATGGTTACCCATTGTGGACAGTGTTTTATGGAGCTCCCAGATCGAGACAGGCTTGGAAGCAGAAATGGAATCCACTTCCCAAACATCAGGTCTCTGGAAACTCTATGAATGTAGAGAAATGATAATGGTTATAGAACAGGGTTCAGGTCTTTTGTTCATATGGTCTCTATGAGTTGTGCTTGACTCACCCACACTTAACAACAACTGTTATTAAAACCCTTCCTCACCACTCAGTCCTGCATAAAGAATATGTCCTTCTGTCTTTTCCCAGCTCTGCATACCTTGACCACATTCCTCTCATATCTTTAACACCTTTGATATTACACCTGAAGTCCCTGGGTGTTGCAAATGGCTATTAGCCAAAAAAGAGCCCTGTGAAATGTGTTAGGCAGCTAACCAAAAAGGTCAGCGGTTCGAATCCACCAACCATCCCAATGAGTAAACATGGGCAGTTTCTTCCTATAAACTTTTACAACTTGGGAAACCAATGAAGCGTCATTAACTATGAGATCCTTATTAACCACAAGATTGGTGTGTGGAACCCACCTTAGGTGCCTGGTTAGACAGGCATCCTTGCACACATGAGCTTGCCATAAGTCTCGATCCACTCCACCACTACAGAGTGCTGATGGCACAATCGGTCAGGCACCGTGATACTAAAAGAAAGGTCAAATTCACCAGCTGGTCCGTGCGAGAAACATGAAGCAATTTGTACCCGTAAAGATTTAGAGCTTTGGGACAGGAGTGGCAGTTCTACTGTCCTAGAAGGATCACTGAGTGGTTTTGGGGTTCTCTAGCCTCACTCTCTCGGACATGCCCTGTGCCTTGAAAGAACACAGCCCTACCCCTCTTCCCCCAGTCTCAAGCTTCTCTCCTGTGTGCCATGAGGTGGTTTTGACTCAGAGCAACCCTCCTAAACAGAGTAGAACTGCCTACTTGACTTTCTTAGGCTGTAATCTTCACAGAAGCAGATGGCCTTTTTTCTATTGCAGAGTGGCTGCTAAGTAAACCTCCAAACTTCTGCTTAACAGCCTATGATTTAAAACACTGTGCCACCAACAAGCTCGCTGCAGCCCCATAGTCCCGCCCCTCGCCCCGCCCTGGGACCTCCGCAAACTTCCCGCGCCGGCCAGGAACTTGAACGCTTTGGGGGTCCCAGAGGGCGATTGGCTTGCATACTAGCTCAAAGGAGAGATGTGCGAGTGGATGCGCTTGGACACCCTGCCTGGACCATGCCGAGGGGCATATGTCCCGAGGATCCGTTTAAAAGGAGCTTTTAAGCGCGATGGCGGGCTCTGGGCAAGGTCTGGCCCTACTGTCCCATGGCAACACTTCGCCGCCTTCCGCAGGAGCTGAGGCGGGCAGAGCTGGTGGAGATCATCGTAGAGACAGAGGCGCAGACAGGGGCCAGCGGTATCAACGTAGCAGGCGGCGGCAAAGAAGGAATATTTGTCCGTGAGCTACGTGAAGACTCGCCGGCCGCCAGGAGCCTCAGCCTACAAGAAGGTGGGCGGGGTCGACAGTTGGGGCGGGGCTAATGAAGGGCGGGGGCAGCCAGAGCGAGGCAGAGATTGTCTGGGGTGGGGGCGTGATCAGATCTGGGGGCAGGGCTTTGTGGATCTGGAGCCTTGGGATGGATTATTTTGGGGAGGATTTCCGAGGTTCATTGTTTGGGTTTGAATCCCATATCTTCCGTTTGCTAGTTCGTGATGTTTCTGTGCCTTTTCTTATCTCTAAAATAGGAATAATTTGAGCACTTACCTCACAGTGTTATTATGTGATTAAATGAGTCAGCATTTGAAAACACTTAGCACATAGCTAAGTGGTTTCTAGTAAGCACCAAGTAAGTGCCAGTTACTGGGGTTTTTCTTTAAGGCAAGACAACAGAAAAGGGGTGAAGTTAACAACTTGGATGAGATTGGCACAGGAACTTAATAAGTGAGAGATATTTTAGGAAAATCTATGAGGCCATATAGCAAATGTTAAATCTTCTCTTTCCAGACATTGTTCTAGGTGTTTGGGCTGCAGCAATGAACTAAAAGACAAGTTTAAGCAAAATAAGTATAGAATAGCTTGGAAAGTGATGTATGCCACCTGTGCCAGGAGTGAAACAGTACTTTTAAATAGAGAAGGCCACGAAGGGTAGAAAGGTCCAGTGTTGGTGTGAGAGCTATGTGGCCAACTAGAAGAGCATTCAGACACAGAGAACAGCCAGCCTAAAGTCTTCAGACATACAGGGAAAAGCCAGTGCTGGCAGAAGTGTGGCTGACTTGCTGGAGAAATAATAGTAAGGAAGCCAGTGTGGATGGAATAATTAATGAAGAGGTGAATAAAAGGTGTGATCTGGAAGTTAGGGAAGTTGTAGAGAGAACTTTCTATGTCATGGGAAAGTTTAGAGGTTTTATTCTGAATTTATTGAGAGCAGAGAAAGAACTGACTGTTGTTGGGAGGCAAGGTAGGGGTCAGGGAGACCAATAAGGAGACTACAAGAAAGAGACAATGAAGTTCACGTCAAGCTGGTGTTAGTGAAGGAGAAAAGTTTAGAATCTGAATATACTGGAAGAATTAGCTTTCAGGACTGGATATGTGATTGATGGAAAGAGAAAAAGATAATATGTTCAAGAATTTGACCTGAGGATGGAGTTGGTAGTGTTGCAAGTGGGGAACATAGACTGGAGCTTGTTTGGGGGAGGAAGACCAGGAATGCAGTCCAGGTCCCTGACATGAGCACTCTTGGGCACTCAGGCAGAGATGTTGCAAATGTATAATTAGATATATGAGCCTAGGGTAAAGATGAAAGTGTTGGGCTGGAGGGATACATTTTTTTTTTATACATGATTTTTAAATTTCTGAATCTGGATGAGCTCCTCAGAAGAATGAGAGGAAGCGTGTAGATAGAGGAAGAGGTCTGAACCTTGGGGCAGTGTCTTTGAGAGGCCAGAAGGATGTAAATAAGTCATCCAGGTGACCCAAGAAGGATGGAGGGGAATGGAAGGAAGTGATATCCTGGAAGCCGAGGAAAAACAGATGAATGAAGGATAGAAAATGAAGTTGGGTCAAATGCTGAGTGGTCTAAGTAGACTGAGTCTGGGGCTTGATCACTGGATTTAACTATTCGGAGGTACACTGCCTAGAGAGATTTTGAGAGGAACAATGCTGGTGTGTGTTGGGGAGAAATATAGATGTGTTATTAAAATGCACACCCATTGTTATTGCTGCATTGTTCACAATAGCAAAGAGATGGAGACAACCCAAGTGCCCATCAACAAATGAATGGAGAAGTTGTCGAATACAATGCAGCATTGAAAAACAAGGAACTCATGAAATATTACACAAAATGGGTGACCCTGGAGGATATTATGTTGAGTGAAATATCTCAGTCACAAAAGGACAAATACTGCATAATGCCACTATTATAAAACAGGACTGATATTGGGGTTGGGTGGAAACTAAGAAAAGAAGGGATAAATAATGTACACTGCATTGAAACAGATGGAGAGAAATGCTTAAAAGTGATTAGGTATCCAGAATAAGAGCTGCATAGTAAGGTGGGGGGCATTGTATAACAATGAAATAATTTTTACTTTCCAAAGAGAAAAGCGAGAGAGCTCTGGTGGCCTACTGGCAAAGAAGGCCTGGTGGCAAGAAGCTGCAATGCAATCCCAGAGGTGCACGGTTTGAATCCACCAGATGCTCTGCTGGAGATGGAAGGACAATCTCTTCCTGTACCAGTCAGATCCCATTTGACGGCACACACACACACACACACACACACACACACAATAAAATTTAAAAGAAAAAGAAAACAAAGAGAAAAGCGAACTGGGGGGGGGACAGAGAGGAAAATGTGTAACAATGAATGAATGGAAATCTGTCATGTTCTCTATAACTTTCATTAAAATCTCAATTAAAAAAAGTGTTATTGAGCCAGTTTAAAAGAAAAGAGGGAGGTGGAGAAGTGGAAATAATACTGCTAGATAATGGGGCAGGAGTTAGGGAGAGTGAGGTTAAGACAATTTATTTTAAAAAATGGGAGAATTAATAGTATCCTTGTATGCGTCCCTCGGGCCTCTTGTAATTGGTTTTGGTCAAACATTCTTCTAGGTGGTATAGCACTGGTCTGTTGATTTGCTGTACAGAGGTAACTCGTGGTTGCTGTGATGCTCAACACTGTGACCCTGATGTGCCAAATGCAATATTAGTGACCCATGGTAGACAGTGTTTGGTGGAACTCCCAGATTAAAACAAGCTTGGAAGCAGGAGTGGCATCCACTTCCGAAATAGTTTGCCTCCAGAAACCCTATGAACTTGGAGAAATGATGAAAGTTATACAAGTATTCAGGTCTTTCGTTCATAGGGTCGCTATGAGTGCCTACGACTCGATGGCACTTAACAACAACAACATGCCTATGGAATAATGTAGGAGGCTGAGCCAAATTGCTCAAGGCACTGCTAAAGGTTGTCCCTGAGAAGAGTGGATTGATTGATTACAGCCAGCAAGGATTAGAGGCAATAGGAAGAGAAGGAGCAGGGGGTTGAGTAGATAGGTTAGGAGCATCTACAAGTTTCCTTCTAATTCTGTTCTTTCCGTAATGGTAGCAAAATCAGTAACTCAAACGTCAGGACAAGGCCTGGAAGTGAATGTCTTGGCCTGGTGGACGTGCTCAGCGATGTGGGGCAAAGGCAGAGCTAAGGCTGTGGACTTCCGAACCTTAAACTGGGTGGGGCGGAGCCTCCGCCCAGTGGTTCCGCGGATGTGGGCGGGCCAGACCTGGGCGGGATCGGGAGAAGCCCACGCCCCGCTTTCCTTATCCTCCCTGCCAACAGGGGACCAGCTGCTCAGCGCGCGTGTGTTTTTTGAGAACTTCAAATATGAGGATGCACTACGCCTGCTGCAATGTGCGGAGCCCTACAAGGTCTCCTTCTGCCTGAAGCGCACGGTGCCCACCGGGGACCTGGCGCTGAGGCCTGGGACCATGGCTGGCTACGAGATCAAGGGCCCCAGGGCCAAGATGGCCAAGCTGGTACGCGTGCTGAGCCCGAGCCCAGCCCCGGCTCCAGCCCCGGATTACCCCGGCGACCCTACCTCTGCGCCGTGAGCCTCATGCCCCACCCTTGCGGGCCAGTCTCTTTACTAATCCCAGTGTTAATCTCACTTTTCTACCCCATCTTCCTCCCCTAATTTCTTCCCTGGGGAGGGACGGACACTCATAGACTCCAGACCATTGCCTCATGCACACCCACACCTGTCTTGAACTGAGATATTCTAAATGATGGTGGGAATTTTCAAGGTTGTGTTGCTCACTCACACCCTTGGCAAAATCTCTCTCCTTCTCTGTGCCTCAATTTCTTCATCTCTAGAATGAAGGTGTTGGAGAAAATCTAAGTAGTCAGTCTTGGGTCCAAGTTCCTACACTCTTGTTGATTCACTGAGAGAATCTAAATGAATGACCATGCCTTCCTGGGCAGTAATGGTGAAATTACAAGCAGGAAGTGGGAATGGCATTTGGGGGGATAAGGCCCTCTCACCTAACACACCCTCATCCTGGTACAAAGCCAGATGGGGCTCTTTTTGTTCACCCACTGTCCCACTGCCTCCCGCCTCTCTCCTCTCTCCCCAGAACATCCAGAGTTTGTCCCCAGTGAAGAAGAAGAAGATGGTGATACCCGGGGCCCTGGGGGCCCCTGCAGACCTGGCCCCCGTTGACGTCGAATTCTCCTTCCCTAAATTCTCTCGGCTGCGTCGAGGCCTTAAAGCCGAGACAATCAAGGGTCCTGTCCCAGCTGCCCCAACCCGCCGGCGCCTTCAGCTGCCCCGGCTTCGGGTCCGAGAAGTGGCTGAGGAGACTCAGATAGCCCGGCTGGCAGCTGCTGCTCCTCCGCACAGAAAGGCCAAGGCGGAGGCCGAGGTGGCAGCAGAAGCCCGCTTTACAGCCCCCCAGGTGGAGCTGGTTGGCCCCCGGCTGCCAGGTGCTGAGGTGGGAGCCCCCCAGGTCTCTGTGTCCAAGGGGCCAGGGGAGGTGGCTCCCACTGCAGAAGTAGCTGGTGGCTTTGCCCTCCATCTTCCAACCCTTGGAGTGGCAGCCCCAGCTGCACCCACTCTGGAGCCCATGGCCATGGGGATCCAGGTCCCGCAAGTGGAGCTGCCCACCTTGCCTTCGCTACCTACTTTGCCTACACTGCCCTGCATGGAGACCCGGGAAGGGGCTGCACCAGTGACAGTGCCCACCTTGGATGTGGCAGCACCCACAGTAGAGGTGGACCTGGCCTTGCCAGGTACAGAAGTGGAGGTCCGGGGAGAGGCCCCTGAGGTGGCCCTGAAGATGCCCCGCCTTAGTTTCCCCCGCTTTGGGGCTAGAGCAAAGGAAGTTACTCAAGGCAAGGGGGCCAAGGGCAGCCCTGAGGCCAGGGCAAAGGGGCCTAAACTCCGAATGCCCACCTTTGGGCTTTCTCTCTTGGAACCCCGGCCTACCACTCAGGAAGCCATGGAGAGCAAACTGAAGCTGCCTACCATCAAGATGCCCTTTGGCATTGGGGTGACAGGGCCTGAGGTCAAGGTGCCCAAAGGGCCCGAGGTGAAGCTACCCAAGGCCCCTGACATCAAGCTTCCTAAAGTGTCAGAGATGAAAGTACCCGAGATGGCTGTGCCAGAGATGCAGCTTCCGGAGGTAGAGCTGCCAAAGGTGCCCGAGATGAAGCTCCCGAAGGTGCCCGAGATGGCGGTACCCTGTGTGCACCTTCCGGAAGTGCAGCTCCCGAAAGTTCCAGAGATGAAGCTTCCGAAAGTGCCTGAGATGACCATACCCGATGTGCACCTGCCGGAAGTGCAGCTCCCGAAGGTGCCAGAGATGTCTGTACCGGATGTGCACCTCCCGGAAGTGCAGCTCCCAAAAGTTCCAGAGATGAAGCTCCCTAAGGTGCCGGAGATGGCCGTGCCAGATGTGCGTCTGCCAGAGGTGCAGCTGCCCAGAGTCTCGGAGCTGAAACTCCCCAAGCTGCCGGAGATGGCCGTGCCGGATGTGCGCCTCCCGGAAGTGCAGCTGCCCAAGGTCTCGGAGATGAAAGTCCCCGACGTGAAGCTCCCAGAGATGAAGCTCCCCAAGGTGCCCGAGATGGCGGTGCCTGATGTGCGCCTCCCAGAAGTGCAGCTGCCAAAGGTGTCCGAGATGCGGCTGCCGGAAATGCAAGTGCCCAAGGTTCCTGATGTGCGCCTTCCGAAGGCTCCGGAGGTGAAGCTGCCCAAGGCTCCGGAGGTGCCACTTAAAGCTGCCGGGGTCGAGCAGGCCGAGTTTGACTTCAGGATGCCCAAGCTGGGGCGGCCAGCGTCCCCGCCAGGAGGCAAGCCAGGCGAGGTGGGCGCTGAAGTCTCGGGGAAACTGATGACACTTCCATGTCTGCAGCCAGAGGGGGGCGGCGAGGCCCGCGTGGGTGTCCCCTCTTTTACACTGCCCTCAGTGGAGCTGGACCTGCCGGGGGCCCTCAGCTCGGAGGGACAGGTCCAAGTAAGCTCAGTCCACAAGGTGGAGCGGGCAGGCGTCCCGCAGGTGGCAGGGGTCGGGGAAGCGGGCTTCCGGGTGCCCTCTGTTGAGATTGTCACCCCACAGCTGCCCACTGAGGAGGGTGAAGAAGGGCGGGTAGAGGCGACCGAGATGAGAGTCAAGTCCTCCAAGTTCTCCCTGCCCAAGTTTGGACTGTCAGGGCCCAAAGTAGCCAAAGCTGAGGCTGAAGGGGCTGGGCGAGCCACCAAGTTAAAAATCTCCAAATTCGCCATCTCCCTTCCCAAGGCTCGGTTGGGGACAGAGGCAGAGGCCAAAGGGGCTGAGGAAGCAGGCCTGCTGCCCGCCCTAGATCTGTCTGTCCCGCAGCTCGGTCTGGATACCCACTTGCTCACAGGCAAGGTGGAGGTGGCAGGGGCCGATGGCAAGCTCAAAGGCTCCCGCTTTGCCCTGCCCAAGTTTGGGGTTAAAGGTCGAGACACAGAGGCTGGAGAACTAGTGCTGGGGACTGCTGAGCTGGAGGGCAAGGGCTGGGGCTGGGATGGGAAGGTGAAGATGCCTAGGCTAAAAATGCCCTCCTTTGGGCTGGCAAAGGGGAAGGAAGTAGAAGTCCAGGGTGGGCGCACCAGTCCCAGGGAAAAGCTAGAGTCCACAGCCCGGCAATTGAAGCTCCCGGAGCTGGAACTGGTCACATTGGGGCCAGAGGAGGAAGGGCGGGCAGAGGGTGCAGTGGCTGCAGGGCGGCAGGTCTCCATGACCAGGAAGACAGATAGCGAGGGCCAGGAGGGGACCCTGTGGAGGCCCCCACAGGGCATCTCCCTGCCCCAGGTGGAGCTGACCAGCTTTGGGGAGATGGGAGTGGGTGCCACTGCAGGGCAGCAGGCTGAGGGAACAGTTCCTTCTGCGGAGGGTACTGCAGGCTCCAAGGTCCAGGTGCCTCAGGTGACTTTGGCCTTGCCTGGGGCCCAGGTGGCTGGTGGTGAGCTATTGGTTGGTGAAGGCATCTTCAAGACGCCCACTGTGACCGTGCCCCAGCTTGAGCTGGATGTGGGACTAAGCCGAGAGGCACAGGCAGGTGAAGTAGCTGCAGGTGAAGGGGTGCTGAAGATGAAGATGCCCACATTAGGGACAGGAGCTGGGATGGGAACAGAGGGGACCAAGCAGCAGTCCACAGGGTCTGAACATACTTTCCACCTTTCTCTGCCTGACGTTGAGCTCTCACCACCTGCAGTTGGCAGCCATGCCGAGTACCAGGTGGCAGAGGGTGAGGGGGATGCGGGGCACAAGCTCAAGGTGCGGCTGCCCCGGTTTGGCCTGGCACGGACCAAGGAGGGGACCGAAGAGGGCGAGAAGGTCAAGAGTCCAAAACTCAGGCTGCCCCGCGTGGGTTTCAGTCAGGGCGAAGTGACCTTTGGGGAAGGCTCCCCCAGCCCTGAGGAGGAGGAGGAAGAAGGCAGTGGGGACGTGGCATCAGGGCAACAAGGCCGAGTGCGTGTCCGCCTGCCCCGAGTGGGCCTGGCCGCCCCTTCCAAGGCCTCCAAGGGGCAGGAGGGTGAGGCAGCCTCCAAGTCTCCTAGTGGGGAGAAGTCACCCAGGTTCCGCTTCCCTCGAGTGTCCTTAAGCCCCAAGGCCCACAGCAGGGATCGGGAGGAGGTTGGGTTCAGGGTCCGGCTGCCCAGTGTGGGGTTTTCAGAGATGGCAGGTCCAGGGCCCACCCGGATTGAGGGGGCTCAGGCTGCCGCCATCTGAATCTGACAGAGGAGACTCATCCCATGCTCCTTCTCTGCCCTTCCTCTGTGTTGTATGTGAGATAACGAGCACTAACCCTAAGAGGGCGTGTCTGTCTCCCAGGCCCTGTGAATAAAGTAATCCAGAGAGCGCAGGTGTCCTGGGTCTTCTCTGTGAGGGAACGGACGCACAGGGTAGGGGTGTGCAGGAAAAGAAGTCCTAGAGAGGAACTTGGTGGGTGGGGATGTGGACATTTGAGCCTGGCCAGAGGGAAGCTGCTAATATAGGGGAGATAGACCACTTCTGGTCTGTGACGAGTCAGGGTGACCTTAGGGCAGGCTCTGGTCCCAGTGGACCTGCCCTTGCCCTTCATCAGAGCCATGGGACTCACACTGTGAGAAGCCATAAGAACAGAGCCACCCACTGGCACCTCCCAGCTCCCTTCCAGAAGCCTGACCTTCCCCTTCCAGTTTGGCTGGTTTGACTGCCTGTCCTGAGCCCCACCCAGGAAGGTCCCTTCTGTCCAGAACCATGGACTCAGAGCCTACACTCCTGGCAGCCTGGGATTAGGCTCCAGTGCTGGACTTCCTCCTTCCAGCTGCACCCCAGTATCTCAGCCCCTAAGCCTCAAGGTCTCTATGACATCCCAGACCCAAATAAGGAGATTCATTCTCCAGTCCCCCCTCAGTATCTTCTAGCCCCTTCCATCCCAGGGAATGAAGGTCCTCCACTCACCACAAAGGCCACCTCTTTCCCCAGACCTTCCTTCAGCTGAGGTTCCCGCTTGGGCACTGCCACCTCACACTTCTACTTCATCTTTACCAAACGTAATAGGAGTAGTCTACACATATGGGGCACCCATACTCCCAACCTCGACCCAAGTCCGTCAGTAACCTCCCTGGGGCCATCCTGTTTCTCTAGCTTTTCTGGGCCCCTCCTCCTGAACATCTCCATCCTCAACCCTCTCACTTCTGTGGTGACAACACCCATGTCAACGTGGGCCTCCAAGGTTTCCCAGACCCTGAATCCCCCCAAGGGTCTCCTAAACCCCTCCCCCAGGAATTTAGTTCCCCAAGTGGTTGTGACTGCTTGAGGTCAAAGGCTGTCTTTGCCATCCTGTTGTGTGATCATACCCATTGTCACTGACCCTACTCTCACCCCTGATGCCCCCATGTGTCAAAGGGGGGAACTGCCCCAGAAACAGATTGCCAGGCCTTCTGCGGGGCTGCTGGATGGGTCCAAACTGCTCGTAGGCCTTTTATATACTTCTTTGTGCCTTAATTTTCTCTTTCATAAAATGGAGCTATTAAGATTAGCTACTTGAGAGAGAAGTCTCTGGTTTTGGGAACTTAAGGAGGCCTAATACCATAGAGCATTATGTATTGGGCTGCTAATTGAAAGGTCAGTGGTTCAAACGCACCAGCTACTCCAGAGGAAAACGATGACCCAATGGAGGGTCACTTCAAGTTTGAATTGACTCCGTATTCGTGGATTTGGTTCTTAGTGTGTTTTAAGGGTTAGGTTAATACTTGTAAGGCTCTCAGTGGTTAAGTGTTTTGATGTTAAATTTCCTAATTTGCTCTTTTGTGTCCCTATCTCAGGGTTTACCCCATCTTTACTCCAGCCAGAGCTTGGCCTACCTGGCACCCTCCTTCCCCATTAGACCATCAGTCCCTGTGGCCTGTCTACTCAGCCACCTCCTTTCTTCACTTTCCCACCTGGACTCCTCCTGGCCTCCTTCTCAGACTCTAAACTTACATTCTTTCCCCCTCCCACCCACCCTTCTACAGACACAGTGCTTTCTGATACTCAAATCTGAACCTGCCCACCCTTGCTCAAAGTCCTTCTGTGACTCCCCAGTACCTTTAGAAGAAAGCCCAACTCCTTAGCATGGCACTCAAGCACCCATACATCCTGGCCCTGGCCAGCCACACCGGTGGCCACCAGCTGTGGCAGGTGTTTGGTGTCCATGGACTCAATGTCTGCAGAAGCTTTCAAGTCCATGTCCCTGTGGTCTGGAAATCCCACATAGGCATGCCCAAGGCCCACCACTGGCCACCTCATTCAGTCTGCCTCTCTAGGATTCTGCCACTGGGTGGGGGAGGGGACCCTGCTGGCACCCCATCCCCCATTCCAGCTAGGTCTCCAACAACAGAACCAGAGCCACTCAGCAACACTGGAACCCATTCAGGGGGGCCTGAGCCCCCTCATCCCAAGCCAGGTGGGCTTTGGGAGAGGGGTGCAGCCCCTGGCAGATACAAGGTGTGGCCAAAGGGGCAAGGGGGTGCCGGGGAGGCGAGGAGCAAACTTTGCAGCAAGAGATACGAGTGTGGTTCTCTTTCCCCCTCTTGGGGGGCCTCGAGGCCGGAGGCGGGGTGGGAGGTCACGGCGGCATAGCCTGTGGCAGGGGGCCAACGGCAGGGCAGGGGCTGGCAGCAGGGGCACCATGGCCACCATCCAGTCAGAGACTGACTGCTATGACATCATTGAGGTGCTGGGCAAGGGCACCTTCGGGGAGGTGGCCAAGGGCTGGCGGCGGAGCACGGGGGAGATGGTGGCCATCAAGATCCTCAAGAACGACGCCTACCGCAACCGTATCATCAAGAATGAGCTGAAGCTGCTGCGTTGCATGCGGGGCCTGGACCCCGAGGAGGCCCATGTCATACGCTTCCTGGAGTTCTTCCATGATGCTCTCAAGTTCTACCTGGTTTTTGAGCTGCTGGAGCAAAACCTCTTTGAGTTTCAGAAGGAGAACAACTTTGCACCCCTTGCTGCTCGCCACATCCGCACGGTCACCCTGCAGGTGCTCAGAGCACTGGCCCGGCTCAAGGAGCTGGCCATCATTCACGCTGATCTCAAACCTGAAAACATCATGCTGGTGGACCAGACTCGCTGCCCTTTCAGGGTCAAGGTGAGTGGGCCTGCCCATGGTGGTCGCATCCCTCCTTCTTGTCTTAGCTTCCTGGGGGTCCTGCAGTCATCTGTCCTAGGTCTCCTGTCACCTCTCCAAACCCTGTCAGTGAAGGTTCCCCCATATCCTTCCTCACTTCACCCAGACCTAAGGTCACCCTGCTGTAAAAAAGAGTGAGGATGAGGTGGGGGCAGCCATATTTGACCTCTGCTAACCCTACAAGGGGGAAATGTCCCCATCAAGAACATCCACAACACAAAACCAATTCTCATGAGGTCTTTTTTTTTTTTTTTTTTAAAAGTTATGAGCATTTTTTTTTTTTTTTTTTTTTTCCTATAATTATATTTTATTAATTTTCATAAACATTTACAGAGATTTTGGGCTTCCACTCATTCATTGTTGCACTATTCTCTCTACCCTCCTCCCAGTTTGTTCTTGTCCAAATGCCACAGTGCTTGTCAAAGCCAGTTCTGATTAATCTTCTTTGTCAGTGTATCCTTTGCCATTCCCTGTCACTCCTCCCTGAGAGAGACTTCACCCTGAGTCATAAGGAAAAGGGGACGGCGTATTCTCTTAGCTACTTCCTGCTGAAAAGGGACGCTGTGGGTTTCAGGGTGAAGATCTTCTCTCACTACTCTAAAGGGCCCCTTTGGCAGTAGGAAACACATAGACTATTATGGAGATTGATTTTGGAATTCAGATGCACTCTTATTGATTGTGCTTGGCTGTACATGTACATATCCTTCAAGATGTATCATGGGGGTGTTGCAACCTAGAAGACACAAATTTGACTAACAAGTTATAAGTACATGAGTCCAAAAATTATGGAAAAGTAAAAGAAAAGATTCTTTCATTGTTTTACAAACCCTCCCCCAGGTCCCCTCCACCATGCAGCCCTCGTCACACGTGCCCCTCCCTGAGCTCCTGCACTTATTTCAACTCCTATCCTACTGTTCTACAAGGTCCAGGATCCATTGTAATAGTTGTACAGATCTATGGTGCCACACTCAGGGTTTTATTAGGAAAGTGAGTTACAATTCAAGTTGGCTACAGGATACGATACAGTTTCTCAGTTTGGATAGCTTTAACCTTCCGCTTCACAATTTTAGGCTGATGTTACAAAACTCTCTTAGTTCTGCCATTTAAGACATCTTCCCCACTCCCCTATCCCTCCAGTGGCCTTGGGCAAAGGTTCCATGGAGCAGCAGTCCAGGTCAGCTCTGTCTCACATTAGGTTTCTAGTTTTCTGCTGTGGCTGTCCTGTAGACCCTGGTCCAAGTGGCATGGAAATCTCTGGCCCCAAAGGACAAATGCTGCATCCTTTGCTGCTGCTTCTTTGCTAGAAGTGAAATCCTCAAATGGTGAAACTGGCCAGTCTCCTCATGGATAGACTAAAACACCCTATTTGCATTTTCCCACCCAGCCTTGTGGTAAAAAGTCAAGGGCAAAGGCCTAGAAAGGCCATTTTGAACAGTAGACCCTCTGCACCACCATATATGCTGTCCTTGTTCTTATTCACAGTGCCTCTCCTCTGGCCCAGTACTACAATGTATGGCTGATGTTTTAGTGAGGGAGATAGACTCCACAAGAGAAAAAAGTAAAGTAAGGCATGTGCTTAAGGAGGAGAGAAAAGAAAGCAGGGAAGGAGGGTGAGGGCATGGAATGATGCTAGGTGAGATTTTAGACACGATAGTCATTGAGAAGATGACCTCTGAGGGGCATCCTGGAGTAAGGGAGCCATTCAGGTACTTGAAGGAAGAGGAGCTTCCGGGTGTCTGTGAAAAGCTGAAGAAACAGAGTGGCAGAAAGAGGAGATTGAAGAGGTGACAGGGCTGCAGCCTGCAGGTCCTGGGAGGATGCTGGCTTTGCTTTGTGAGAGAGAAGTCTCGGGATAGTGTTGAGCAGAGGAGGGAGGTGACCTGCTTTAGCTGTTCCCAGAATCCCTCTAGCTCTGCAGGGGTGGAACAGGTGGAGGATGACCAATGAAGAGGCGACCAAAGTAGTCCTGGTGGGAGAATGGATGGGACTAGAGAGGGAGGAGTGGAAGGAGGGATCTTGGGTGGATTCTGAGTGGAGCAGAGTGCTAGAGGTTGTTGTTGTTGTTGTTATGTGCCGTCGAGTCACCTGCGACTCATAGCGACCCTATGTACAACAGCCCTAAACTCCACTCTGTCCTGTGCCAATCGCACTGTCTCTGACACTCCCATCCCAATTATCCCAGT